AGAAGGACTTGTATGCATGCATATAAGCATAACCAATGGACATAAGACACTGGGGGGTAGGGGAGGCCAGGGGATTGTCAAGGGTGGGGAAAAAAAGGACACATATGTAATACCCTATGTAATACTTTAAGCAATAAAAAAATTAAAAAAAAAGAATATTCTAAACCAACTAGAACATTGCTGTTACCCTTGATCTATTCAGCCATTGGGACTTCATGGTAGATATTTTATCTAATATAGTAGAACTATATTAGCTTCTTTTCTGACTCCTCTTGACATACCCACTGTCCCTCATTTACCCTAAATTTATTGAGGTATAATTTATAGAGGTATATTTATTGAAGTATAAGTAAATCACATATATTTAAGATATACAAAAAGATGATTTGCTATATGTATACATTGTGAAATGATTACCACAAATAAACTAATTAACACATTGTCACCTAACATAATTACCTCTTTTGTGTGTGTGGTGAGAACTCTTAAAATCTCGCCCTTTAGCAATTTCAAGTATACAATACATTATTATTAATTCTATTCACCATGCTGTACATTAGACCCCCAGGACCTACTCATCTTATTTTTTAAAATATATTTTTATTGATTTCAAAGAGGAAGGGAAAAGGAGAGAGAGATAGAAACATCAATGATGAGAGAGAATCACTGATTGGCTGCCTCCAGAACACCCCACAGTGGGGATCTAGCCTGCAACCCGGGCATGTGCCCTGACCAGAAATTGAACCATTACCTCCTGGTTCATAGGTTGACACTCAACCATTGAGCAAAGCGACCAGGCTCATCTTATAACTGAAAGTTTGTACCCTTGACAAACACCCCCCTATTTCTCCCATCCCACAGTCCCTGGCAACCATCCTTCTACTTTATGCTTCTGTTAATTTGACTTCTTTAGATTCCATTTATATGTGAGATTATACAGTATGTGTTAGACATACTCCCTTAAATACCTCCTCCCCTTTGAGGTCTGGAGGTCTTTATATTTTAGTTTAAGGATGGTCACCCAGTAAATCCTCTTGCTATGGCCTCACTGAGTTGCTGGATTTTCCCACTCAACATAATCCCTTTCAAATGACTCCATCTACCTTTCTTTAATTTCAACCTAGGATACTTGTTCTCTAATCACCCAGGAGGCCAACCTTGGAGGCTTGAGGACTAGTCATGCACTGCCCAAGTCCCAGCCCAGAAAGTATGGTTGGTCTTTTCTAAGAGCTGTAAGCCTCTACCTTTAATTATCAGGAATTTTTTTGTGATGTGTGTGTGTGTGTGTGTGTGTGTGTGTGTGTGTGTGTGTCCTGGGTTCAAGTGATAACATAAATCCCAAATGACCTCAAGGTTAAATTCAACTCACTCACCGTCTTGTTGCCTTCGGATATGCGGTACAATACAAACTGGTTGCCACTTTTGCTTCCATCATTGTATTTCTTCAGAGCTGCATCCACAGCCTTAAATACATCCTCATTATTGCAGTCAACTTCTTGTGGTTGGTCCTCTTGGGCGAAACTTGTTAGCAGCCTGGAACAAAGGAAAAGGATGGCAATTAACTTCATGATTTATCAGTCTCCCTCTGGGAGTTTCACAAAGAATTGGAAGCTAACTTGGAGGCTGATGTTAACCCTCTTCAGCCTCTTATCTCTTCTGTCTCTCCTCTCTCTGCCTTAGCACTTTAGGGTTCTGCCTGGCTTCCTGCTGCCCTCCACTATTTGCCCTCTTATAAAGACAAATGGCTCCGCTGGATTATCCAAGCAGATCTCAGGCTGGTACATTACAACACTGGGTCGTTGACCTACTTGTTTGCATTTGGGAGGCATGTGTGAGCACATTTCCAGGTAATTGCTCAAGTTTGTATAGGAAATCAGAGTACAATCCAATAAAGGAGAAAAAAACATCAACCGCCTGTTATTCCCTTTCCAAAATGACTTTCCCAAAGCTATTTATGAAGGTCACTACATGTGACAACAATGCAACCATGAGCAGACACCTTTCAATAAAATTTCTTTGCACTCCTGGAGAGCACATGCACAGGGACATAGTGAGTGCAGGGAGTCTCACACAGGACATTGGCATGAATGAAAATCAAAAATGGGCATCCTATCTGGTCACTGGCTAAGCCAGCATCTCTCCACTCAACTGGATCTGCTGTAGAAAGGAAAATGTTTCCCAGGGTGGAGGAGACAGGAGAGAAACTTAAGGAGAGATGGTTTGATTGAAGCCTGTTTACTCTGTCCTTCCTTCTTATTTCTGGTTTGGTGGACTTTATAGGGGTCTTTCACTCACTAAGCCTAAGTGACCTTTCAGATAAAGTTAGACTATTCAGGGGGAGGAGGTCTAAAGGTAGGTTAAAGATATGGGCTAGAACTGTTTTCCTTCAAGTCTTACCCTCTACCCCCCAAAAAAATGTTTGACTTCTTTGTTGATCAGGTACCTATCTTGGCAAGCCAATCTCCCTGAGAACCTTTGGAAAAGAGGGATCAATGGGGGCTGAATGATGGCCTTGTAACAGAGTGGCAGGAACATGAACTTGGCAGTAAGCCCAACCTTAATTCCCATCCAGCTCTGCTACTTAACTGCTATGTGATCCTGAGCAAATCAGGGTTATATAGCCTTTCTGGGCCTCAATTTCCTGATCTGGAAAAGTGAGATATCATAATATCTTATGAGGTTTTCTGAGGAGTAATGAGATAAAACATGTGCAGAGCCTGGTAATTAGATCATATAAATTATATCTAATACTAGTGGCCCAGTGTACGAAATTCATGCATGGGGTCGGGGGATTCCCTGAGCCCAGCTTTCACCCTCTCCAATCGGTGACCCCTTGGGGGTTCAGGCCTAAACCCGCAGTCAGACATCCCTCTCGTAATCTCGGACTGCTGGCTCCTAACCGCTCACCTGCCTGCCTGCCTGATCGCCCCTAACTGCCTCTGCCTGCTTGTCTGATTGCCCCTAACAGCCCTCTCCTTCCTGCCTGATTGCCCCTAACTGCTCTCCCCTGCCGGCCTGATTTTGCACCCAATTGCCCTCCCCTGCAGGCCTGGTCACCCTCAACTGCCCTCCCCTGCTGGTCTGATCTTGCCCCCAATGGCGCTCCTCTGCCGGCATGATCTCTCCCCCAACTGCCCTCTCCTGCTGGCCTGATCACCCCTTACTGCCTCTGCCTCGACCCCCACCACCATGGCTTTGTCTGGAAGGAAGTCAGACATCCGGAAGATGGCTTGATGACCCGGTCTAATTAGCATATTACCCTTTTATTAGTATAGATAGATTATATAGTATAGGATTGCTTAAATGGTGGGGGGGGAGCCTTTTTCAGCAGGAGGAGATGCTCTTGGCAGACAAAAACACATAATCCCTATATCTGGACTGATAGCCAGCCATATGCACTATACTGTCAAACCAGTAATTAAAAAATTGAACCCCTTTCTTACACCTTACACCAAACAGCTGTTGCCCTTAAAACCCCTCCTCAGCCCCCACCTTAGATTCTGCCTTTGCAGTTCACCCAGATTTGGTTCTGATTTGTCGGTTTCATGTAGCCTGAAAGACAGCAAGATCCCAGAGGGAGATGAATATGGTATTCTTGGCAGTCATGTTCATCAGTAGTCTTATAGAGACTCCTACATCCCCAGTTTGATTCAGAAGAAGCAGATACACTAGACCAAAGAGTGATGTGAGCAGGGTAGTAAGCATTCCTTAGCAGGGGGACCTGGTGAACCAGTAAGGAAGAATCAGACCTTCTTCTATGCCCATCACCCAAACACCTGGGACAATGTGAGACTCTTAAATGAGGCATAAATTTGTGTGGGGAGGAGCAGGGTGGGGAAACTCTAAGAGGGACTGAGGTTAAGTTTTCTATTATCCCAGCAGGATGGCAACTTGAAATATAAATCAATGTTTTGAAAATACAGTGATATTTCTGGGGCATTTGAATTTATGGTCATGATTCATGCCTATGAACTTCTTTGAAAATTATATCCTGAGCTTTGTTTGCTTTATAATTAAATTTAGAACTTATTTCTCCAAAATAAAGGGAATTTAGAAAACTAGAAATAAGAAGTAGGAGAGAATTTGGATCACTTTATAAGAACAATCCTTTATATGACAATACATGCTTTCTTGGCGTGCCCAGCTATAGCATAAGTACTAAAAGGGGAATGATGTTAGAATTAAAGAAGTTGAGCCCAGGAAGTAAAGAAATTCTGAGGATCAGAGATTTGTCTTGAGTGGTGTAGTAGCCAGTGAGAGAATTAACATTTGACTTGGGACACTAGGATTTTTTCCTCTCCTCTCCATTTTTCTTGTTCTTCTCACGTCATCTTCTCTCCTACACACATTTTTTAAAAATATATTTTATTGATTTTTTACAGAGAGGAAGGGAGAGGGATAGAGAGTTAGAAACTTCGATGAGAGAGAAAGATCGATCAGCTGCCTCCTGACTTCAATGAGAGAGAAACATCGATCAGCTGCCTCCTGCACAGCCCCCACTGGGGATGGTCCCGCAACCAAGGTACGTGCCCTTGACCAGAATCGAACCTGGGACCCTTCAGTCCGCAGGCCGACGCTCTATGCAGTGAGCCAAACCGGTCAAGGCAACACATTTTGTCCTATTCTGAATATGAAAGTTAAGATTACAATAACCTGTAATGTTGCATTTATTATTGGTTACATTTTATTTATGGTTCTAATTCAGAACATTACTCATTCTTCAAGGAACTCAGATTTCTTTTTGGAAATGTCTCTTCAAAAAACTTTGAAACTTGTGAAAATTCACTATTGAATATCCCTGGACATAATTCAGAGGCTGATTGAGGGAAGGGCTGATTTTCTGGCTTTAGAGGATAGTTGTGGTTTGGCAATGAGAAGCTGGGGAAATTGGCTTCAGGAAGAGGAAGAACTTCACCTTTCTTTAATGGAGGGAGTCGGTAAACATACCCAATTTGTCTCCATTTTAAGGGAAAGTGACCTTTGCCTTGACCTCTTTCTTCTGAGTGCCTAGGTGGTGAGCTATGGCCACGGTGATGGTGATCTTGGGGACCTTGCCTATGGAGTGGTGGGTCACAGGGTCCATGGTCATGAAAACCATGGCCATCAGGATGCTGTCCATGGGGATGGTGTCCATGGGGTTGGTGTCCATGAGGTTGATGCTCATGAGGATGATGTCCATGGGAATGGTGCTCATTGGAACTATGATTATGAGGAGGTGCATGTGTGCCATTGGTGCCAAAATGGAAGTGATGACATCTTGAAGAGGGTAGTCGTGAAGGAGCTCCTGCTTGACGTGGTGGTCTGTCTGAGTGATTTTTGTCGTCCAGAGGAGATGGGCATCCAGGTTTATGTGACTTGTGGGGATGGGTTATCTCTGGATCTACTGTGTGTAAATGAAGGCTTGTGGGAAGAGGAATGCCCATGGCCTCCAGAGTGGAGGGCATGGTCCAAATGGGGTTGAACATCACTGATGTTTCTATGTTCCTGGTGAAGGACACCACAGAAAAGTGACTATCATCATGTAAAGAAGAAATTAGATGTTTAACTTGATTTAATTCAATTAAATCCATACTTTTGGATTGCAGAAATAAATTTTTAAAGTAGAATATCAAAGAAGGGTTCTCAAATTTTTATCGAGGCAAATTGGCATTTAAAATACAAACAAAAATCATCATCTACCTCCATCATTTCACAATAGCAATAATATTATATAACAACAGTCAGAAAGATAATCTCAGAGTAAAGGATGGTTCTTTTATATGTAATATGTTATACCACAAACAATTTTTTTCTTATTATCTTTATATTTCTCATTTCCATATAAAGTGATAAAATTATATTACAGAATGGTACTCATCTGTAGATCAACATTTCAAAAACTTGTGCCTTATAATTTAGGCTCTCAACAGAGTTCTGGGACTGTATGATATAAGCATCTCCTACTCCTAAAAGATGAGCACTTGACCTCTTCACTATCCTTATTCAGGTTTTAATATTAAAAAAAAAATCTGTGCAGCCATGCCCATGGTGATAAACCTGCCCCCCTTCTTGGTTTGTCCCATGGATATTTGAATTACTTTTTTTCTGATATAAAAAATACTGTGAAGAATATTTGTGTGTAGAACAAACGTTTCTACACAGATATTCTCATAAAATATTGTTTTGTATTGTATTTTACATATCTTTATATAATAAACTAGAGGCTCAGTGCAAGAAATTCATGCATGGGTACCGTCCCTAAGCCTGGCTGGCCGTTGAAGCTTGAGTGTCTGGCATGGAAGAGCAGGTCCCAGCTGACCTCTGGCCCCTGGGCAGCACCTGGGCCCCTGGGTCCCCACTTGCCCCCCTCTCCCTGAGTCATGGCACCCAAGTCCCCACACTGAGATGTGGTGAGCTCAGCTAGACACCGTGGGCTGAGGTGCAGCATGGGCCTCTGAGTCACCCAGAGGCACTGCACGGAAGCCAGGTGGGCAGCATGCTCTCTCCCATCTGGACTCAGCAGACCAGCTCCGGAGCGAACCCACAGTAAGCCCGTCCAGCCCCTGTGGTCCCTGAAGCCTTTTGGGGCTGGCAGCCTCCACTGTCACCCTGCTTCCAGTGCCTCCTTGGCGATGCCCACCATGTTCCGCACCGCCCTCTGGTGGTCAGTGCACATCATAGCGAGCAGTCAAACAGTGGAACTCCTGGTCAAGGGAAGAATATACATAGTTAGGCTTTTATTATATAGGATATCTTCCATTGATTTCAGAGAGGAAGGGAGAGGGAGAGAGATAGAAACACCAATGATGAGAGATAATCATAAATGGGCTGTCTCCTGCATGCCCCACACTGGGGATCAAGACCACAACCTGGGCATGTGCCCTGACAGGGAGTCAAACCTTGACCTCCTGAGTCATAGGTCTAGTTCAACCACTTAGCCACGCCCACCAGGCTCTTGTTCTTATTTTAAAGGAGAGAGAATTAACACTCCAGAGGTCAACTTGCCCAAAACAGCCAAGTTACCCAGGGGCAGAATCGAAGGGAGGGTTGGGGACTAGTTCTAAACATGCACTCATGAGGCCTCTGTGTTAATGGGTTCATCCAGGGGGGCGGGTGGACATACACTGTCTCTGGCTCTTCAAGCGGCACTTCCTCGAGGCCCTCAGATTCCCCGAATGACCCCCAACCTCCCTACCTGCCATCGGAGCTGAGGAGGGTGGAGGATGGGAAGGGCCATCTGTGGTTCACCTGGGAGGGGACGTGGGAGGGGGAGGGAGGGGTAGAGCTGGGAGCACCACAGACCCCAGGTGGGAGTAGAGGCAATGATCTGGAAACTGATCGCCCTGTCCCAGCATCTCAGGAGCTTTTCTTTGCCCAGAAGCACTGCAAGCATTGCCTTAGGCTGTGGGACTTGGAGCTGGTCTCGCAGTTCTGTTCTGTGGTACAGGATCCTCTCTGTCCTGGAAACTAGAGTCGGGGAATGGAGTCGGACCACCTGGGCAAGCCCTTTGCATTGGACCCTGAGACCTTTTGTGTCACGCATGACCCAGTTCGGGGCACAGCTGATCTGTGTGTCCACAAGGGGGCTTCATTTTCCTAGTTTTCAACACTTGCTTTCCATAATACTGTACATTCTGTTTTGTTGTTTTTTGTACCAAAAATAAAACCATTTGCTTGTTTCCAATAAGTACTTGTCATCACTGCAGAGAGCTTGGGGGTGGGGGATGGGGGTCGTGGAGGGATGAGGGCAGCCAGCTGGGATGACCTGCCTCCTGGACCTAAGGGCGGGAGGCTGGTCATGAACATTCCATGTCCCTCCTGTGGAGCTCAAACTAAGGTCTGGGTTTTACAGCCAGACCTTCAAAACGGACGCCCCTGCCAGCAGCTGCCGGAGACCCTGCCTTCCCATGGGCAGAGCAGAGCATGGGGCCTCCTCCCCCCACACCCCCTTCCATCCCCACACCGTTCCTCACGCTCTGTTAGACCAATTCAACTGCACTGAAGACCTGAGTTGCCTGTGTCTAGAGAAAAAGAAGGGTGGTGTAGATGAGAGATTTGTACAACTTTAACCAAGCATTTTGGAGGAAAGTCTTGGAAAGAAGGGAGCCATTATAAAAACGGGTTTGCACAGACCCTGTCATAGAGACTGTCTTCTGGCCCTACCCTAAGTTCAGAGGCTACACCTGGCTAGCACCCTTCTGCCCCAGAGATCCTTAAACCCAGCTGTCAAAGTTACATGAGGAAAACTCATTTTTTGAGGCTATTGGTAAGCAATAAGATTTTGAGTACAGCCCTATCCAGTTTGGTTCAGTGGATAGAGCATTGGTCTGCAGACCAAAGGGTCCCAGGTACAATTCTGGTCAAGAGCACTATCTTGTTTGCAGATTCCTGCCTGGCCCTGGGCCCTGGTCAGGACTTTTGCAGGAGGCAACCAATCAATGTGTTTCTCTCACATCAATGTCTTTCACTGTCTTTCCCTCTCTCTTCCACTTTCCCTAAAAATCAAAGGAAAAATATCCATGAGCAAGGATTAACAAAAAACAACAACAAAAAAGGATTTTCAGTACAGGTTAAGAGTCAGAAAGCCTATGTTAATCCTGGCTTCATCATGTATTAGTTCTATGAGATTTAGGTAAGTTGCATAAAATTTCTGAAACTCAGTCTTTATTTCTAAAATGAGTACAGTACTATCTACCCTCAGGTTGTGGGAGGGCTTAATTAAATGAGATAATGCTATAAAACATTTAGCATTGAGCTCCTCTTCTCCAGCCTCCATGTTTCTGCACTGAGTTTGTATTCCCCACACCACTATAGTTAAGGGTTTGTTGGGGTCAATGGGATGGTCACAGGGATCCAACAAAGCAATAATATATGGAAGTGATTTGTAAACTATAGGTTGCTATACAAATGCTGCATATCATTCATAACACTTCCTGCAGGCACATGAGTATCAGTTTATACATGAGTACGGGGAAATCCCATTGGACTGAGTATCTTAGTTGTGAACATTAGGCAAGACCCTTACTTTACTGAGCCTATTACCTTCCCATTTGTCAAATGTGGTCACTGTGAGGAGTGAATGAGATGAATTGAATGAAACCATCCATTAGTATAGGTTCTTAATACCTTCTAGTTATTAGTTTTAGCTAAGTCTTTAATCCTAATGAGTTAAAAAAAACCTCATTGTTAAGTTGGTATATATCATGTATATTTATAAAATAATATTCTCAGTTTTATCACCATGCCTCAGTTTCCCCATAGGTAAATCTGGAATAAAAATGCTATCTAGTTCATAGGGTGGCGGTGGGGGTAATAGGCTAATATATGGGTAAAGCCCTTACAAGGGTATCTGGCACATAGTAAGTAGTCTCAAAATGTTATTAATATTTCACACAGATCTATTATACTCACATTATGGTGCCTGCGAAATGGTGACTGGAGCAGTTCCTCACAGAGAAGTCAATATAGTAATTGGTTCTTCTCCCTCCTCTCTAGAACAAATAGGAACAAAGCAGTGTCAGGAACATTTTTTAAAAAGCCAGTAGATATCAACTATCAATATACTGTAAATGCACCATCAGGATTCACCAATATGTGACATTTTTCTTATTTTCTGTGTCTTTTAAATTTATTAAGTGATAAGATGAATACTATTTAAAAGGCTCAGATAGTACAGACATAATCAAGCATAGTGTGAAAAGTCATTCTTCCTGCATCTCAGCCTCTTCCTCTCAGAGGTACCACCATCATTCATTTGATGTGCTTTTCCTTCTAGTCTTTTTCTAAATACACATATATCTAATTGTTTAATATAAAGGAGATCATAGTCTAAGTATTGGTCTATAACTACTTTTTTCCCTTGGCAATATATCTTGAAACTCTTTCCAAGGCGTATAGGTCCAAAACATTCTTTTTAGTACGTAATTGCATTGTATTTATCCCATTGCTTGTATGCACAATAGATTTCACTTTGTGTTTTCAAAATACAAGACAACATAAACTAGCTGTTCTATAAGACTGCTACGGGTGGGAGGCACTTGAGTCCCTGGACGGGGAAGGACTGTCTGGCTCTAGCCATACCACTGGGTGTGGTGAGGAAGTTGCTCTGAGCCTCAGTTTTCCATCATAATACAAGGAGGTTAGGACTAGATGATTTTAATGACTCATAACCCTAGTATGCTCTTCTGCATTTTACTCTTTTTTGTTTGGGTTTCCCTCCTCTCTGTTGATATCACACTCCCTACAACTCCAAAAATTAAAAAAATTGCAGGAGGGCAGTCCCATGGTGTCTGCTGCCTGTCTCTTGAAACTGCAACAGGGATCTCAACTTAAAAAGCAGCTGGTGGCTTGCACCAGCAGCCCAAGGGAGGAGGCAAGAGGGGTTGGTCAAGAGGGGAGCATAACAAAGGGGTCCAAGAAATTATTGGGGGTGATAGATATGTTCACTATCTTAAGTGTGGTGTTGTATTCATTGGTATATACATATGTTAGAATTAGCAAATGGTATACTCTAACTAAATATGTGCTGTTTATTGAATGTCAATTACACCTCAGTAAAGTTGCTATTGTATTAAAACAAACAAACAAACAAACAAAGCAGCTGGATTTTGTGGTTCTCTGTCTGGCTTATTTCACTTGCCATCATACCCTCTACATTGTCACAAATGGTAAGTTTTAATTCCTTTTTATGCTGAGTAATATTTTATTATAAATATATAATACATATTCTTTATCTAATCATGTATCGGTAGGCACTTAGATTGCTTCCATATCTTGTCTATTGTAAATAATGCTGAAATGAATGTATGGATGCATGTATCTTTTTGAATTTGTGTACACATGAAACTAATATTATATTGAATGTTACCGATAAGTTAAAAATTATAATAATAAAAATTATCTGGCCCAAGGAGACCAGTGGGGAGAGGGTCAATGCAACTGAATTTTCTCCTGTGAGGTTGGAGCCTGGGCCCTCAGACTCCAGCTGGACATTAGTGGAAACTTATGCCTTGGCCGACTCTCTCCACTTGGTCCACTCTGAAAGAGGCAAAGTCACCATTCTCCTTTTTGTACATCTCAAGGACTTTCTCTGCTTGTTTTCTGTAGACCTCAGTCTCCTCAAAGAAATCCAAGAGTACAGGACTGTCTTTAGTATTGGCCAATGCGGAAAAGACTGGAGAAAGAAATGGTTGTTTTGTAGCTAAACAGCATTGTCAATGCCATGAATTAATACATATATGCATGATGGAAACAATAACAATAGCTCCTGTTTTACAGACAGGTGAATTGAGGGTTGGAAAGGCTAAGATACTTGTTCCAACAAATCAGCTAATCAGCAGCAGAGCTAAACTTAAATCCAGATCCTTCTGATATTCAAGTCTCGGTTGTTACCCTATTCAGATGCTCCAAACCCATCATTCATAAAGTGTGAATATTTCAATAAACTCTTCCTGTCTCTGCCAAGGAGGGAGAACATCATTAAAATGAAGTTTTGCCCAGAGAGAGAAGATACAGCTCAGTCTTCTTTAAGGCAAACTCCTGAAGGAGTTGCTTGGCTGCTGAATTTTTGTATATTGAATTATGCTGAAATTTGTTATTTTTAAAGGAACTCTGTGATAATTCTCTTAGAAAAAGTAAATAAAAAGAACATGGACTTTAGATTCAACACTGGTGGGGCAGGTTTAGGTTCACCATATTTGGGGTGTTTTGTGAGGCCAAGTAATTTAATCTCTTTGAACCTCTTTTAACTCTAAAATAGAAAGTCTCATAATCTTCATAGTCTTGTTATGAGATTAAATGAGACTGCTGTGTAAACTGTAGTATCAATACATAAGTTTTACATGTTGAAGTCAATATATTGCTAAGTACTTTGAAAGTGTACTACACAGAGCATCTTATTTAATACTAACGAAGACCCAAAGAGCTAATATTATTAGCTTTATTTTACACATGAGGAATCCTTAAAGAGGTTAAGTAACTTTCCCTCAAGACCATGCAACTAGGAAATTATGAGATTGGGATTCAAATTCAAGCAAATCTGACACCAGACAGAGCCCATGTTCTTTATAATGATGCTCTACTGCCTTATGTAGCTCTCTATTTTTACATATATAATTTGTGAGAAATGTATTAATAACAGGGGAAACACTCTTGTGACTCTTTTCAGGAGAGAAAGTAAAAATCAATTCCATGAGCATAGGTAGAGTCCATTTTTTATATGTACATCATAGTATTATATATTAAATACCACTGTATGATTGAATTCTATATCAATCTAGAATTAAGCAGTATTTTAACAGATTATCATACCAGAGCTTGTGGTACAGTTGAAGTCATTCACTCTAAGGTCCTGAAATTCACTCAGATGTGTTGTAGCTATTACCTTCCACTGTCCAATCACCTGTAAGAAAGAGGAGTTTATCATTGTGTACTGCTTTCTTCGGGTTGAATATGAAGACACAAAAAAAGTGATGCAACATACCCTATTATCCTTTAAAATTTGTTTGTGGTTTCTCAATAAATCCTCTTTCAAACCTGTATTTTCTTAATCTGTTTCTAGGAGTTAGATGCCATAGGCACCCAAAACCCTCATGAGAACCACAGATAAACTATTTAAACAGATCATGGCCATATCTCAAACATTTTCAAGAAGAAAAAAATGCTAAATTTCTAGGTATGTAAGTGTCTTATTTTCTGGAACTAAAATCTTAGATCTGTGCCTTTTCGTGTTTGTGTTCTTCTCCTGTGGCAGACAGCCTGGGATCAGATTACCCATGTGCAAAGCAGCACAAGATCCCATTCCTCATGATAATTGCAATAATCCCTTTTGGACACTCCTGCTCATGGGACCAGTCTTCATAGGACACAATTACAAGTTCATAGGTTCCAGACCCATAGACTGTCAGGGCCAGAGAGGACCTTAGAGTTTATCTACTCCAACCTCCTCCTCTTATTTTACAGCTGAGAAGATGGAAATTTAGCGACATTAGGCGATTTGCCCAAGGTTATAGCTGGTCATGCTATAACAAGCCCCACTGACATATCTTGAACTGGGTTCCTAGGTATGGCTCTCAAGAAAATATTACTCAAGGTCGACATTATCTTCATGAGTCAAAAGACAGAAACTGCTCTTCCTCTGTTGCTGTGGCATACAGCTACCCTGGGACAACTGAGTAGACAGAAGTCAAGAATAATAAAAAGAGGAGAATGGTACCATGTTTGCTTACTATATAAGATGAATATCTAGAAATTTTTGGCTCACAGACATCCCAGTGTTTCCTGGTTTGGACTGTACAGTCAGATTCTTTCACATCTCAGACTAAATAATAGACATCTGTGGATTCCTGAAAAATTCCAAGAAAGCAACAGGTGAGTAACACGTGGGAGCCCAGTATGTTTTCATTAGAAACAATCTCTTGATTTCTTAAACAGAATTTCTGTTCCTTTCCAAATCATTGCAGATGTCTACTTTTGTGTCATTTCATCTATTTATTTGAATAAACAGCTTGAAAAAGTTACTTGCAAATGTTCTTTTTAAGTGGTCATGATGTTACTTCTGTTCATGAGCTTTAAAAAACAATTACTAAATAGCACCATTTATTTGGGCGAAAATGTTGAAGGTGTAAACCTAGAAATTATAACTGATGACAACCATTTTAGGAGCTCCAATCTGTATGCACAATTGTGTCCTCTCACCCAGCTCTTTCCTGAACTTGACTTTTTGCCTTAATTTCAACTTGCCCAACCCTAAAATCAGCTCTTCTATTACAAACCATCTACCTCTCTCAATTTATCTTGCCTTTTGTCAATGACACCATTAATATTTCCTGCCTTAGACTTTGGCTTAAAAAAATGTGACATCAGCTTTGATGTCTTTCTTTGCTTTTGCTATCCAGTCACCAGGCCTTGAATGGTCTTTCTTTGAAATGTCTCATGTCTTTTCTTCATTCTCATTGCCATAAATCCCACCGCCTTAGTCTGTCTTCATTTCCTCATTCCTGAACACGTCATATAACTTTCTAGTTCAAGCCTGTGCCACTTGCATCCATCTCCCCAGGTACACTGTGCTCCCTGCCCCCACTCAGAGGTAGCCCTGGGCCAATTCATCCTGTATCCTATAATGTGGCAGCGATCCTGGACTGGCACTAGTAGTCACTAAGTTGCTGGTTGAATCCTGAGCCCTGCACTCATTTTCTGCAACCTGTAGAGCCTCCACATCTAATACTTTAACAAACATAAAGTTATCTGCTTGTCTTCTGTGGTGCTCTATTGTCTGAACTCCCTGATTTTAGTGGTTCCTCCAAAGGGTAGGTTATTTTGGGGATTGGGGAAGAGAGGCCTCCCTCCTTCATCTCTATCATGCCTTCAAATCTATTCCAAATAAGTATATAATCTATGTCAGTGATTTTTAAATTTTCATCTCATGGCACATATAAACTAATTACTAAAACTCTGCGGCACACACACAAATACATATATTTTTTGACAATCTGACAAAAAAAGGAATAATTTTGATTCATTCACATTGGATGGCTTTGGTGTGTTGGCTGTTTTTCTTTTTTCATTTGATAATCTAAGGGACAAAAGGTCAGTGTCCCTGACTAAATAGTCAGGTATTGCATGATTTCTTACCCACATCGAGTTGATATTCCTGGAATTTCCCAACCCATCTTCCTGTTCAAATCCTGCTTCATTTGGGTTTCCCAAATGAAGCATTCTCTCATTCAATGGTAATAGATCTCCTTTCATTAGATTGTCCAGCATCTATAATACTCACTCGGTCACTTAAATATATCCTACCTTACACAGGGTGTGTGTGTGTGTGTGTGTGTGTGTGTGTGTGTGTGTGTGAATGTGTAAGCTGATTCTTATTTCTTTAAGGGCAAGGCTTACAGTTAATTATAATTTTACTCTTATAGCACTTAGCATTTGATTGGAGTCAGCATCAGTGCTTATAAGTATTCAAAGATTGATTCATAGTCAAGGACATACTAATAACTGACATTAAATTGAAAAAAAAAAAAGAACATTCTAAAGCAGCAGCAGAAACCAAACAGAAAACCCTGACCAAGGCCATTCCATTGTGCAAAGCAGTAGGCTTAGTGGCTAGAGTCACACTTGCCCCAGGTGCATGGTTTCCCAACTTAGCTCTGCCATTGGCAATTCCTTACCGCTCTGTCCAAGTGGGCACCAGCGACCCGCAGCAACTGAAAAAGGAGGCCATTCGAACATCCTTTATTGATCAGGTCTAGAGCTTTCCTAGCCAGGGGCTCAGTAGCATTGCAGTCTATGGGACTCACAGTGTAGGAATATCTAAGTGTGATCCAATGCATGGAAAGCAGAGCTGCAGTGAATGTCTTCATTTGGTTAAAACGGGAAAACCATCCCTTGCTATGGTATACCACAGCAGAGAATTTTATACAGACTTTTTAAACACACACACACACACACACACACACACACACACACACTCTATTGATTGAAGAGTATTTATACATTTTTGTTGTGTAAACTGAATGTTCACTGCTGCAACCTTTTGCGGCAGGGGTTCAGGATCTGAAGAAGGGACCAATGCACAATGGAAAATACTATACAGGAAATATGACTTTAGAAGGCAAGGGGGGCCAGATGTAGACTTCACTCTTGGAGAGGCACACTGAAGCCTGGCCTTATCTGCTTTTTATTCAATTTTAGATACACATCTTGCCCTCAGTAAAGCACGGCAAACAGGTAGCAAACAGACCATCTATAAGGTCAATAAAGATCAATAAGGTCCAGTAAACATTTACTTTGAGGCTATTAGGTCAGGAAATTGCTTTGAGCCACTGCTATCTCAACACTGCCCTGCTAACGCCCAAGGTCCATCGGCCTACGTGCACTCTTATGAGAGTATTGGGAAAGCGGTGGCTTCCTGCTTCTCCCCCTTTTTGTTTTCTTAATAAATCTTGAAAAGTGTATGTCGTCTGTAGGGCTTGAGTCCTTTTAAGAATCTTCATTCCACATCTGCAGACTAGAAATAAACATATAAGAACAAGAATGAGACAGACAATAGTGGTTATGATAAGATGCAAATGTAAGGAGATCCAATGAAAAGGATTGAGTTCTTTTATGTTCTTTTTAAATTGTTGCCAGGCATCTAAGGAACTAGTTTGTAGTAGGCTTCTTTCTGGGCCATCAGTTCCTTATGGGTCCCCTTCTCAATCACTGTCCTCTGTGATATGACAGAAACAATATTCGAGTCCTGGAAGGTGGACAATCGGTGGGCAATGACAATGCAGGTCTGACCTTTTCTGGCTTTGTCCTGGGCAACCTGTACCATTGCATGACTAATGACTGCTAGCGTGGCAAGGCTTCTTTACAATCCCCCAGGTCATCTTTGGACTGTTTCTCCTCTGTCTCATTCTCCTTCTATTTCTGATCTTTAGCTTATTGCTTGGGACGACTACTATCTTTGGCTGGAGTAGTCAATTGTCTGCAGCCACAGGTACAGGATGAGGCTCCAGATGCAAGGTCCTCATTAGTGTGGTGAGTCCTCTCTGGGGTCCATGTTGAAGTTTAATATACCTTGCAGGAATCCACATGGGCTTGGAGGAGTTTTCTGGAAATACACCAGCATATCCTTGACAAATAGTTAACAAAGGGACCCTTCCATAAACCAGACTCAGGATCTTTCCATTTAACGAGACCATTTTCCTTTGGCTTATTCTTACACCAGAGTAATTCCATAGGTGTCTTCCCATCAGTGTTACAAGTGAAAAAATTTAAAATAATTAAGGCTTGGTGTAGTCTACTTACAGATTTCACCACTATTCTCCCTTTTTGTTTTTCAAGTTGGGATTTTAGCCACTAATGGTGTTCTATAATTGCCTGTCTTTGGGAATTGTATGGTACAGTGGGCCTTGAGTTACAAGTGTCATGACTAATGAGTTTTTCGAGATACCAGCCGTCTCTCGGCCAATTTTTTGCTTTGAGTTGCGAGCTAAAATTCGGGTTATGAGCCAGCTTCAGATACCCCACCGCTAGTTGGCGCAGCGAACGTCACAGTAAACGCCACAACATCAGCCCAGCATCACGTGTCTCACTCGTTCACTTTTTGATTTGACATACGAGTAATTTGAGTTACGAGCTCCATCACTGAACGAATTAAACTCGTAAGTCAAGGCCCCACTGTATTCCTGTAATGTGCTGAATTTTCCCCTTTTTACAAAATTGCTGGAAATGACAGCTTGTGTATGCAGGTCCATTATCAGTTTTAATAATTTTTGGAAATCCCATGATGGCAAAAGCAGCCAGGCAATGATTAATGACCTGTTTTGCCATTTCCCCTGTAGATGCAGTGGCCCATAAAACCTTTGAAAAGGTGTCTACAGAGACATGCAATGCCCCAAGGCGTCCAAAAGGAGTATAGTATGTTACATCCATTTGCCAGATATGGTCCCTTATAATCCTCGAAGGTTAATTCCTATATTAGGCCCTTGAGGCAGATGTAACATGCAAGTGGGACATTCCTTAATAATCTGTTTTGCCTGCTTTGTGGAGTGATTGAGAATTTTTTAGACAACATTTTGGCAGGCTGATGTAAAAGCTAATGAGATTCTGTGGCCTGTTTTAATAAAGCAATGAATTGATCAGCATATGCATTTCCTTTTGTTAAAGGACCAGGCAGGGTGGTATGAGCCCTGATATGAGTAATATAAAAGGGGTATTGTCTTTGCTGTACAATTTGCTGTACCTGTTTAAATAGTATAAATAGACTTTGGTCACTGAGCCATCTTAATTGAGCAATCTCAATTCTGTTTACCAGGACAGTAGTATGGGCAGAATCAGAAATAATATTAAGAGGCTCTTGGAAATCCTGCAATGCAGTCTTGATAGTTTCTAATTCAATTCCTTGCACAGAAGTATGACTGGTCTGGATGACTCGGTCTGAATTCATTGCATGATAAGCAGCTTTACCATTAGATGAACCATCAGTAGAAACAGTTAATGCTCCAGGGGGTTCCTACCTAGTATGTTTTTTTTTTAGTATAAATAATAGGGGTGTAATATAGAAATTGTAGTAACTTGTTTTTTAGTAGGTAACAACCAAGTTCCCCTGAATATTCACTTATTTCAATTTGCAAGTTCAAATGAGTCTGAAATAACATTTCTAATTGCTTCCCCATGAGGGGAAGATAGATGCATTGGGGTTCTGCTCCTCAAAAATTTCAAAGTATTAGGCAGGTCATTGTACTTCACAGTAGGTTAATGATAATCTGGTGATACCAGGAAAAAGGAGACCAGACTGGTGGAGAAATGGTCTTATTTAATTACTACTGACCCAGTGCACAGATTCATACACATTGAAAGAAAATTAATTAGAAGGTAGCCAGTGCAGTGAAACCGGGATGGGACCAGGCGAGAAGGGCAGATATGCCTTAGAGCCAACCTTCTGTGGTGCCTCCCCGGCCAGTCGCACCTGGGGTGGCGCCATGGCTGGAAGGGCCATCCCACACCTGGAGTGGCGCCATGGCCCCAGGGGCCATCTGCAGAGTAAGTGGGGACTCTCCGGCAGGTAGGGTCCCTCGGCCTGGCCTGTGGGGATCGGGCTGAAACCGGCTCTCTGACATCCCCCTAGGGGTCCCAGAGTGCAAGAGGGCACTCTGCAAAGTTGCTATCGTACAGGATGTGGAACGCAAGTGAAAGTGTGCAGTAAACCAGATTTGGGGCCTACAGTGCCCCAGCAACAACATAACCCATGGTCAAAGGTGGAATCGTGGCCCCACAAGAAATCAGGCTCCTTCCTCCCTGGTTGCAGGGTGTCATGAAACTCTGCTGCCAAGTCACTGCAGCTTGACAGCTTCTGCATTGAGCATCTGCCCCTTATTGGTCAGTACATATCATAGCTACCAATCAGATGGACACTTAGCATATTAGCCTTTTATATATATAGACTAGAGGCCCGGTGCACAAAAATTTGTGCACTGGTGGGGGGGGGCGGTGTCCCTCAGCCCCACTTGTGCCCTCTCACAGTCTGGGACCCCTGATAACGACCTGGCTTAGGCCCACTCCCGGGTGGCAGAGGGCAGGCCCAATCCCTAGGTGCCTGCCCCGCAGCTCCTGGTCGGGCTCAGAAGAGCGCCGATTGGGGAGTTGGGGCGCCACCCCCTGTCATGCACAGAGCAGGGCGGATCAGGAGGTTGTGATGCCACCCTCAGTCACGCTCAGGGTAGGGCCAATTGGGGGGTTGGGGCACCGCCCCCTGTCACACTCAAGGCAGGGTCGATAGGGAGGTTGCGGCGCCACCCCCTGTCACGCACAGAGCAGGGCCGATCAGGGGGTTGGGGCGCTGCCCCCTGTCACTCACAGAGCAGGGCCCATCAGGGGGGTTGGGGCTCCGTACCCTGTCACACACAGAGCAGGG